TCGTTCAGATAGTGGCGCATGAACTTGGACATCAGGTAAATATGTACTTTGCTTCTTGCATTCATGCGTATTCCAGTTAATACTGATGCCAGCCACTGGAAAGAAGTTTATATGAATACATCTTACTTTGTGCTTGAACTCTATGCATACGAGCCAATCATAAGACCAGTCTCTTTACAATTGTTCTTGTATACAAAAACCAGTAAACACTCAAAAAGCAACTGTGACGAGTTGGGGGACAGTGGGCGACTTATGCCGGTCGGAAGAAACACTCAGCAAACGTAGTTAGTTTGAGATAAAGATTATCTTCCTGGGAACCTTATAAAGCATAATAGTTTCCACTGTTATGCGGACAAATGAAAGTAATACTAGAACTACAATTACCCATGTCATGATCACTCACACGATAATGTGGTAATGTCATTAGCCATATTATCACGTGACTATTATTATGCATTTATTTGATCTGCATCTTTGAAAAGTCACTGTTACAGTGGTTTGGTGATTTGGTAACCATGAAATGGTGGGATGACTTGTGGCTTAACGAAGGATTTGCTTCTTATGTCGAATTTCTTGGAGCGGATCATGTAAGCGACAGGCACATGAAGCTGGTATGTATGGTTACTATATGAGAAAAGAAACGCATTTAATGAGCTGTTAGCCAGAGTATTTCATACTCGACCCGTTGACGAAAGGTCTGGAGCGAGATTCTGTCTCTACAAGCCATCCACTTTCATTCACGATTGAGAAGGCAAACGAAATTTCCGAGGCTTTTGACTCGATCTCGTATGACAAGGGAGCAGCTGTATTGAAGATGATGGCTGCCATTACCGGTCAAGAAAGTTTCTTCAAAGCAGTCAATGTAGGTTATCCGAACTGTTGTTTCGGCATTTAACTGAATTGCTAGATGTCAGAATATTTGCTTTGCAGTGCAATACTAAAATCAAACTAATTTATACTAGGTTGTAAAAAAGTTTTGTTAATTCTTCTCGTGTGATCACCAAAATGAATGCGAATGCAAGGGACTGGTTTGGGGGCAATAAGCTAGAAAGAAACATCCAAAGAAGGAAAAAAATCGTTACGCTGAGTTCTGCGAAAATGTATATTTTTCAGATTATTGAGCGCAGAACTTGCAGAAGTAATTCAAAAATCCGTTTTATAACCGTCGTATTGCTTAGATAAAAACATCGACTAATACTTGCTCCTGTGCCTGGAACTTTTTCCAAGCAAGAATTAGCTCAATTAATTTCTGAGTTTAATCACCCAGCCTTGGAAAAGAGCATCCATGATATACTTAATCAGTAATCCAAGTTTGCATTACACATGACCAAAATATTATCATTTGCCAGCCACTCAGATGAAGATATAACTAAAACAATTAAGCTCAACCTTGACTGGCAAAACTTTCTTTTCACCCTAATACTTGTTTTGGAAGAAACGCGTGTGCAACGTGTTTGAAATCATTACATTATTGTCTATGTGAGTTCTACTATTTCATCGATTTACTTATGCATTAGATGGCCCGTCTTCACGTGACGACGCTCCAGCACAGAAGTTCTTAGGGCCGCATGCATTAACATCCCCGCTGGGGAGG